CTCTCATGGACGTAAATCCCGCCTCTGGGGCTAGGATGTCAACCATGGACCTCAGACTGGTTCTCCTCAAAGTAGACAAGATTCACAGCTGAAGTTACATTGTGTTCTTAATTTTGAGAAGTCCTTCTCGTGGTTTCCTCTATCAGAGAGAGTAGGAAGAAACAGGACTTTATCAAAAGAAAACCGAAACACCCAGAAATAAACTGAAACATGGAGAACGAAGAACCACTGAGTGGTGAATAAAAAAGGAGATTAGGAGAACTTGAAGTTAAGGTAAAGAGCCCTTGTGTGTGTGTGTGTGTGTGTACACACATATGCACACACATTTGTGTATGTACACAATTCATTTTAAAACAGCAGGAAACCTAGTAATTAACCACAGCTTCTAAAATCCAGAGACGAAAAACAGTACTTTGGTTATAGACCAACTATCTTAGAAGAGCTAATAATTAGTTTGGGGGAAAAAAAGCTAAGAAAATAATGGGTTTTGAAATTGAACGGTATAAAAACTACCAGTTGCTAAGAAAATGGTGACATTCCCTTTCACACTATTGCAAAGGTATAGCAGCCTGCATGTGGTACCATTTTGCCCTTAAATCCATCCTACTTCTATGTTATAACCAGGAATTGGTGCATTACAGCCTGTGAGTCAAGGATATTCTTTATATTTTCAAACAGTTGGAAAACTTTGAAAGCACAGCATTTCATGAAAAAAAAAAAGTCAAGTCCATAAATAAAGTCATATTGGAACTCTGCCACATGAATTTGTTTTTGTAGTGTCTACGGCTGCTTTCCTGCTATATAGGCAGAGTTAAATAAGTAGCTGCAATAGAGACCCCATGGACCTCAAAAACCATCTGACCCTTTACAGAAATAAAATGAGCCAACCTGGGTTCCAGACCAACTGAACTCCCTTTACTGCCATTGGCATTATGTGAACATCATTACTGATAGCTGCAACAAGCTGCCATTCAGCTTATTATACATGTTTGAGTGGTTATCAGCTGCTCAGAGATGATAAACTCCTGCATCAGGCCATCGATCAGTGTTTATTCCAGGAATTATGCCCCACACCTCACAGCTTTTATCCTGTTAGTACAAGAAATCTCATTAGGATTCACATTAAGCCATTAAGCCATTCTTTAAAATAATCACTCTTATGCCTGTATATAGGATACCCCCTTATCTGTGGGGATATGTTCTATGACCCCCAGGGATGCCTGAACTTGTGGATACTATGGTACCCTATACATACTGTGTTTTTCCCCCATGCATACATACTTTTCACTTAAAGGAAGCACATCACAGCTTTTCTTTAGCATATCTGAATTGCCGGCATCACTACTCTTGAGTTCTGGGTCAGTATTAAGTAAAATTAGGGTTATTTGAATGCAGGCACTGTGACATCTCGACAGCTGATCTGTAACCAAGATGCCTACTAAGTGATTAATAGGTGAGGAGCATGTGGATACCTGGACAAAAGAATGATTCATATCCCAGGCAGGAGAGAATGGGAAAGTGTGAGATTTCATCATCCTACTCAGAATCATGTGCAATTTAAACTTACTGTTTATCCTGAAATTTTCCATTTAATATTTTTAGACCATGGTTGATAAGTAACTGAAACTGTGGAAAGTGAAACTGAGGATGGGGAAGAGGGAACTACTGTGTATTATTATTCTGTATACTCTTAAGTTCCATACAAAATTATTGAGTCAATTTAGTTTGACGATAACTTAGTAATAGCATCCCTTATTCACATGTAAATTACACACAAATCAGCTTTAAGAAAAACAAAATAAAGAGACTAACCAGACATCAGTCATACTTCTCTTTCAAAGTTCTGACCTTCCCTCAGCATCACTCAGCACTCCCACCTGCCCCTTCAAAACTGTCCTGTCCCTTGTACAGGTGTACAGGCAGACCTCAGAGATAGACATTGTGGGTTTGGTTCGAGACCACCGCAATAAAGTGAGTCCTAATCTTTTTGCTGGTGGAAGGTCTTGCCTTCAATTTGTAAAAAACGCAATATCTGTGCAGCACAATAAACCAAAGTACAAAAATGAGGTATGCCTGTACTCAGAAGAACCATTCTCTCAGCTCACTAACACTATTTATTGGATCCACAAAACTCCAACTAGTCACATGCCCAATTATATCTCGGGCAATTCTGTTTGAAAGCCTTGTGATTGTGGTTTTGCTCCTATCTAAATGGCTTTCCCTTTGCTTCTCAAGCAAATCGAATCTGGCCTTTAGAACATCATTGAACAGGTTTCATTCCCAAGTCCAGAGATCAGCCCTTTAATTCATAAAAAGCAGAGTCATCTACTATATAAGGAAGATAGGAAACTGAAGAGCAAGAACTGGCACTGTGTCCTGGAGTCTAGAGATCACACACGAGGATTTCGGAGCTGCTTCAAATGAGTCATCTTGGCTGTCCATGGCCCTAGAGCAACCTTCTGGAAACTCTGCCAAAGGACAAGTTTGCACTGAGCAGCTGACACAGACCTTCCAGTTGTCCAGAAGTTAGATTTCTCATTGTGAACAAATAGGCAATCACTAACTGGACCTGTTTTTATGAATCAGTTCCCTCAGCCGGGATTAACTATGAATAAAATAGGAGAAAACAGAGATTCTGGTTTTGTAAAACACACACTTAATGCTGGTGACCACACAAAGGCTCCATCTCCTCCTATAACATATCTAACTCATGGCACATTTTACCTGCTTCCTCTAAGTATTTATTGAACACTCATTGTGTGCTGGTGACTTGCTAGCAACTGTAATATATATAAAATAAACAGAGCAGAGTCTACTCTATTGAGGAGCATTAACTTGCTGGATAAACAAGTTACGTGTGAAATAACAAAAGACCAATTGCTGGTCATATCTACCAAAAACAAACAAACAAACAAACAACAAAACCTATAAAAAAGTAAATTAAATTAAAAATAAAAACAAACATAAACTACCAAATGACCAAAATGTGTGTGAGACACAGTGAGAGAAAAACGCAAGGATGATGTGGGCAGTGTGGGCCCAGATATAACAGCTTCGGGATGTAAGAAAAAATCAGTGCTGAGCCTGGAAGAATGAACAGAATTTGGCTGAGAGAAAATCCCACAAATGCAAAGACATAAAGGAACAAGGGGTATCTGACAATAAACAAGCCACCTTAAGGAGCCAAAGATCCACACTGGTGATCAGAGAACTTGACTCCTGACTAAGATAAAAGGACATCCCCTGAGGGCTTGATGGCCAGAGAGTTGAGACTGGAGAGGGATGCAAAAGGAAGACTCTGAAGAGGAAGACATGAAGAAAGTAACACTTGCAGAATATACGATCTTTCTTCTGGTGGCACAAGTTGAATCAGAAGGAAGAAAACCATGAGACAAGGAGGTGAGTCAGCAAGTTCACACATGATAAGCCATGAGTTTAGATACACTGAAGTTTATAGTAAAGAAAAAGAAGAGGAAAACATTGCCGACGTCCAGGACATGAGCTCTGGTGAATGCAGATAAGTGATTTCTTCCCTTCCCTTGCACCGAATGCTTACCATCCACACATAGCCAGGAAACTGGTTAGTAACAATAAATAATCACAATGACGGCCAATGTACAGGAATCTCCTAAAGTCCTGTTTATACTTTCAGAGATTACTATGACAATTACAGTCTTCATGCTTGATGGTTAAATACATTATTACACATAGAATACTCGTAATCTGTGCACAGTATATTTGGCAATTCTCTAGAAAGTACACCACCTTCTGTGGATAAAAAAAAGGGGCTCTATGGAAATTAACCTCACGGGGGTTATCTGATCGTAAGTTCTTAACTGGGCAGGTCATAATGGGTAGTCACGTCCAAAGCTTGTAACTTTTTTAATAAAAGGTTTATCTTGGCCTGAACCAAGTCCTGTCCATTGTTTCTGTGCATCTAAGTTAACACATCTTTGAAAAAAAGCATAACCACCCTCAAAAGAGCACATAATTTTGTTAACCATCAGGTAACCCAATTACCACCTTACTTTCTCCCACCTCCATGTAATCTTCTTTACGTCCCCTCACTAATTTCAAATGCATAAAAGAAACTGCAAAGCCGTCATTCTCTGGAGTATTTGAGATCTTGCTCCCTGGCATATGTCGTCAGAGTTTGGGCTCAAACTCTCATAAAAGTTCTTCACAGGTTTGGATGTTCTTCTGTCGATACTTGTTTTTCTAATCACACCAGGTAAGAGTTCACTTTATTTGCTCTTTACATCCCACTTCGGCTTCTATATCAGAAGTGTCATCTGATGTGGCATCAAGTGTGGTCAGAAGTGTGGGGCTATGGGAGGGTCCCTGGCGGGGCTGCGAAGGCCTTCAGGTCCCCACCAGCTCTCCTGATGCAAACAGTCCTTGCGCAACAGGAAGCACCTCTAAACTAGCAAGCACACACCTTCTTCAAGACGTTTAGACACTGTCTCCATCTGTTCCCCTTAACAGCTTCCCTCTGCTGAGGCAGAGGGCTCCCATATTATCTGGCTTGAGTTACTGCCAGTTTGTTTTCATAAAGATCACTATCTTGGCCAGACACTGGGAAATAAGTGAGACACAAATCTGGTTTTGATGAAAAGGAGACATTAAATGGGGTGTTAGTATTACCCAGGGGACACCGAAACTCTGAAACTCCATTGCCTCACAGATTTTATATTCTGCCAAAGGGAAGGATCAAACCCTACAGTATTGGGCCTTTAAAAGCCAGGAGAGAAAAAAGGATTGCCCAGGACTGTCCACAGACCTACTCATATAACCAGCCAGAAAAAGGACAAACCCTTGTGTGCTATAGGTACATTTGCTTTAAAAACTATGCATAGAAAACCAGGGTATCCACCCTTCTGAGTTTCCCCTAAATCAAGTAATAACACTAGACTACAATTCACATGTTAAACTGGAAACTAAGAGAGTAACCTGACTTTGAATCACTCTACAGGTGTAGAAGGTATGATTGCAGGTACAGGAGGTGTCATCTGAGAAGCTGGTGTCCCTGGCCCTTCTAGAAGCAGCCAAAATATGTCCATACCCTGCAGGCAAATAAGTCATCAGGAGACCTGGGCTAGTGGAAAAGCTCATGCCCAAATGGACTAGATGACAATGCCACTCTTACTTACTGTTAAAATCTTTATAATGACCAAAAGGCTATTTATTTGCAAGTAAAGGCTTTGGAGCTTCTGGTCAAGATGGCAGAGTAGGTGAACGCTGTGCTCCCTCATCCCAAATCACATCAAAATTACAATTAAACTACAGAACAACCATCATTGAGAACTGCATGAAGACTAGATAAACAAAAACCACTTCAAGGCTGGTAGGAGGGGTGGTGACATGGAACAGGCAAGCCCTACACCCACATGTGGCAGTTAAAAACTAGGAGAGATATCTTGGCTGTGGAGATCCCCTTGAGAAGTGAGAGGTCCCAGACCCACACCAGGATCCCAAGGCCAGGGTTCCAGTGCCAGGAAGAAAAGTCCCCTGGCTGTGAAAACCAGTGGAGATTGTGGGCGAGTGACACGGAGGGCTGTTGGAGTCCCAGGCGTTCCTTTCAAAAGACTGCACGTGGATTTCCTTGCTGACAAATTCACTCAGTCCGAACTCCAGCACTGGGGCAGCAGCCTGAAAAGTGCCAGAGACAGATGGGGAGGAACTAAATCGTCTGGCTTCGGCGCTGGAGGGGAGGTTCTCTCTGTCATTTTGCTACTTAGATGAACCACGTTCCCACAGAGTTGGCAGGCAGGCGTCAAGTCTGAGTCTCCATCAACAGAACACAATTCGCCTTGCCCTGGTGATTCCCTGAAATCCCACTCCACTCAATTTGTAGGCCACCCAAGCTGCTTACAACAGTTTTTCCACACAAATGGCCTATCTTGGCTTGCGCTGCAGACTTTACTAAAATATCTCAAAGGTTCACAATCCCAAATAAGAGCATCTGTCTTCAGCATTCCCTGTACCTCTTTCTAAGTGGCCCCCAAACTGGCAGTAGTGGCAGCTGGCCTTGGTTCACAGCTTAACATCTCCCAGGTGCCTCCAAGCCCAGCACAGTGGCAACCATCAACAGATCACCCTGTAGCTCATACCAGGTAGCCCGACCCGGGCACAGGCAGTGACTGACCTGGGCTTGCACCATTTCCCAAGACGCCCCAGAACCAACACACCAGGTGGCCAACTTCAGATCACACCAGAGCACCTCCACAAACAACTTACCCAAAGGGTGGGCTTGGCAGGCACCAGAGGCCCGCTAAAGTGAATCCTGCTCCAGGGGGTCAGCCCCTGCACAATAGCTCCTCCATTGTAGTCAGTCAGTCCTCCCAGCCAATCAGATCTGAAGGTCAATCCCTACCATTGACATGCCAACAGCAATCAAGGTTCAACTACAACAGGAGAGCACACACAACCCATGTAAAAACACATCTGGAGCACCGGACTCAGGTGACCAGGAAGATTGTGCCACTGGACCCTACAGGACACCTACTATGTAAGGCCATTCTACCAAGACCGGGAGATGTAACAGCTCTACCTAATACATAGAAACAAACACAGAGAGGCAGCCGAAATGAGGAGACAAAGAAGTTTGTCCCAAATGAAAAAAAAAAAAAAGCAGAACAAAACTCCAGCAAAAGAACTAAACAATTTACCAGATGAGGAGTTCAAAACACTAGTTATAAGGATGCTCACTGAACATAGGGATAAGTAAATAAACTCAGTGAGAACTTTAACAAAGAGATAGAAACATAAAAACAGAGTTAGAAAACATAAAAAGGACTAGGCAGATATGAAAAATACAATAACTGAAATGAAAAATACATTAGAGGGACTCAACAGTAGATCAGATAAAGCAAAGGATTGAGTCAGCAATTTGATCTATGAACCTGGAGGTAATGGTTCCATTCCCAGTCAGGGCACATGCCCGGGTTGTGGGCTCAATCCCCATTGGAGGACATGCAGGAGACAGCCAATCAATGATCCTCTCTCATCG